CAGCAATAACTCATATGTTAGTTTGTACGAAGTAAGAATACCAGGATAATGAGAATAAGGATATGTACAAATGAGCTTGACTTCAACGTGAGTTTTCCTATCCTGCGTCGCCCCCTTCCCCCGAGGAGCCCTTCCTGGATCCGTCCATGCTAAGGCAAAATTTCAATCATCGGTAAGTCGACTATAATCGACCGACAATCGTATTCTTGAACAAAACTGATAAAAATACGCATTTTCACAAGCGAAAAAATAAACTCCAATAAGGAGGATATGTTACAAATAGTGATAAGCCACATATAAACGAGTACCACACACTGATACGTGAAGCCCACCCAGGTATAATTTATTGAAATGACCCACTGACGGAGTTCGAAAAGGTGGCACACATACATCGATTACAATATACTACAATTTCCATTTATTACAATAGATCGTCACTTTTATAATTAAATCATTTTCCTTGTACTTATATGTGTACATTTATGTTAATTTTTTCCTTCCGTTTCTAATTCTTCCCCTTTCATCTCTGCGTTTCTCTGTCTAAGATTCTGCAACTAGACATTCATATTCACGACTGATCTACAACATTGATCACCCCTTTATTTATACTTCTATCCACATCCAACCTCGGTTCATAGACCAATACACGACAGCATTGATCTTCGCCGCCATCTTCTCCCTTCCCTTCTAATTATTTTCTCCTTTCCTTTTTCTTTTGCCCTTTAATTTTTATGCATTTTTTGGTATGCATTTTCTTATTTTATGCTTTACTTTATACTAAGCTCATGTTAAACTCACACATATTATATTACATAACTACATTATCACCTAATGTTACCTTAATACCTCATTATAACATTGTAACTACATTAACATAAATACATTATAATAACATTGTGCATTACGTTAGCGATACGAATTTTAGTGCATACGCTTTATTTTATTTTATTTTAAACATAATTACTTATTACAGAGCTGTTCAACACATTATTAAACAACGGAATTATATCATGAAAACAAACTGTGATGAACAGGTAGGCATTTAGATTTTCTTACTTTAAAATATTTTACCTTTTAATTTTGCTTTCTACATATCTCCAAAATAATTTTCATTGCTTACATTAGCTTCATTTCTTTCGATTTCCTCATTTAAGATCATTACCAGTACTTCCATCTTCACCATCGTAACTAATTCTTATTCTTAACTAACATGTATCGATACCACAGTCATCGTACTGACGAGACCCAACTGTGGCAACGGTAAGAAATGTATATGACTTAATGGACCGAAACATTTTTTGCCTAATTTATTATTTCAATTTATTATTTATATCTTTCCTTTTTAATCCTTTTGACCTTTTTCATCATCCATCTGTACATTTTCCAACAAAATTTTTTGATTTACCTTAAATACATCGATCAGAAAACGGTACTGTCCGGAGGTAGGTAGGCAGATTACAGCAAACTGGTTGACCTGGGAAAGTTAAAATCGAAGGACCTGGCACAGTTTTGCCCGGCGACTGGGGAAATCCCAGCGCCATATTAATAATATGCCGTATTGCGACTGTCCTGAGAGATTTTGGGAACCATAGGATTTATTAATAAATTTCAGTTGTTTTTTTCAGTAAATTTCGTTACAAATTGTTACTGAACGCACAATTCTACAAAAAAACTGTACATTTCGTCACTTTCTCTGGAAAATTTCCAGAATTCTTCATAAATAAATCAAAAATCCTATTCACATATTGAGCAATATTACGATTTTAGTTCACTGAGCATTTTCTCGATATCCGCATCCGACAACTTTTTTGTTTGATCGGCAGTGGCAGTAGCAGCAGCAGATGAGGGCACTTTCGGTGCTTTGGCAAGCTGAAATTAAACTGCTTAAAACCTGATACTAATTTTAACGTATGAAAGTGAATACTAAAACCTATAAAAATGAATACTAAAGCCGAATATTTAGGGTATAAAAGTGGATATTTATTTAATCTTTCTTTCCAAGTGGTCGCTTTCTTTCTCGCAAGTACTAATAGCTGAGACGCTTTAAAAAAAATGAAGGACTTATCCCACTTATCTGATTCTACTTTCTTTCTCGATCATAGTAATTATAATAAAAATAACGATTATGATAACTATAAATACTCTGAGTGTAATAACCTCATTAGCTGTTACAAAAAGAGACGTGGGCGAGTAAAAATAGCTAAAATTTTACTTGTGCATTCAAATCGATGCCAATCTCATCCAGTACTTTGCTAATAATGGCGTCCTGCTCCTCCTCATCGCCAGATTCCTCAAGCATTGTGTCAAGTGTATCCGAAACCACCTGAAATTTGTTATCAAAAGACAAAAATTAGAAAAATCTTCGTATTCACTCACTATAAAAAAACGAAGTATTAATGTCAACCGTACAGTTTTATTCACCGGTCTCTCCAGAAGTTATATTTAAAAAATTTTGTGAAATATTTCAAACTTTCTAGCGCACACTTGTCGAGTAAACGACGGGCACTTACTAGAGATGTGTAGCACAAGATCGAAGGGCCTGCCATAGTCGCGTCCGGCGTGTATCAAAATCCCAGTAGTAGTACAAACATGTAATACCAATGGTGGCTGTTTGGACGATCCTGATATTCCTAGAAATTTGAAATTCCTAGAACTGAACGTCGGTGGACCGGGACGGGACTCACATGAGCCAGAGGCGTGTATGTCAGAATACTATCGAAACGAATGCACGGATCCTAGAGGGATTAGTTATCCCACTGTCAGAATCGAACCTACGACCTTTTGCACGACAGCAACACATTTTCTACTGCGCCACCTCGCCAATTGCCTATTTTGTCGCTAAGGCTAACGAGATTGTTATCAATACCAAGAACTGCTACAGAAAAAAGCTGAAAAAAGTTCAACTTTCCGACCCCTTAGACGTACCACTGACAATTTTGCATCAAAACGAAAGGTAAGGGGAAAAGTTTTGTAAAAAACCTAGGCATTCTGCATGCAAAAATTCTAAAGACCTCGTCAGTAACACCAAGACGTTCTTGTGCTCTTGCGAATTCGTCCAAATTTTTAGCCAGCTTTTCCGGAGGTAACTGTTTTTCCATCACTTTCATCGTATCTGTTGTCTTGCCAACCGCATCAGCCATTCGTCCCATACTGTACATTTCTCTAAAAATCCAACAAAAAATTGTAGAAATAAAAAAAAAAACACACACACACATCTGAAAGCTTGGGATGAAAATATACAGAATCGCGAGAGAGGAGAAGGGACTAACTGATGACATGTAGTTATGGCTAAGTTATGGCTAAAATAACTAAAATGACAAAGTTTTTGGACGATTTTCGATTACGAACCTATTTTTGGCACTGATTGCATTCATCCGAGCACCCATATTCAGACTTTTGGCTTTCTGTTTTCGCAACTGTAGTAGCTGTTTGGCCAACACACCACACGCTTCCTTCTGCCCTTGTTTTGCCAACTTTCTGATTTCTTGTTCCTGAAAAAAACTCATTCTCTTCAAAAATTCGCTACCAAAAGCAAAAACGCTGAAATAAATCGAGTTTGAACCGGACCCTATTAAAGAACTGTTTCAAAAAAGACCCTAATTGCTGTCCAAAACTTAATATAATCAAAAGGCCATTTGCATCTCGGCCTTAGAATACAGAAAGGGGAAGAGGGAGGGGGGAGGAGGATAGGGTGATGTAGGGGGAGAAAGGAAGAGAGATGGGAAGAGCGACAAAAAGGGGTAACAGAAGGCGATAGGAGCTGAAGGAAAGAGAAGGAGCAACATTCTGATAAAGCCTCATCAATAAACCACCAGAACCGGTTTTAAAGTTCCAAAAAAATGAAGCCATCTTTGGCAGAAAAAAAAAAAATGAAGCCATCTTTATATGCAACACGTCCAGCGGCTGTATGCTAAATGGACAAAACGGCTTTCTCACTGCTTCAAAAAAAAAGCAAAAAAAAAAATCCAGGATATGTAAGGCAGATTATATTGAAACAGCAGAACAGAGGGACTGGACTAGGTGTCATATGTAAGAAGGCATTTTACGCGATGCAGTCTGTGTTTCATCCCTTGGCTGTAAACACACATCGAATTTTGCATGTGGCTAAGAGCGGGAATCATCAGTACAGCTTCCTACCCTCCATGTACTGAACAGTCATGTGACTAATTTGCAAGACGGA